TTTTTTTTTTTTTTTTTTTGCTAAACCACCGTGTTTTCTCTGCATTCTCAAGTTAGCCACATAAAGAAGTACTGAATGGGAAGCCAACCATAAAAAGGAAAGTAGGATTGCAAAGAGAATGTGGTAGAAAGAAATATCTGACAACACTGTTACAGAGCTTTTGAATCCATATATGCCTAAAGTCATCACTTTTGGACTTTTCTATTATTTGAATTAATTCCCTTCCTCTTTTGCTTGAGCCAGTGGGTGTTAAAAGTCTTACAAACGATTTTTAATTGATATAATAGGGTGAAAGCTTATAATGGTTCCAAAAAAAATGGATGGAAAATTTTAGCCAAAGATATAAATGACCAATGAGCAATGAGGTCTCCAACTAGGAGATGAGTGTGGAGCAGTGTGCAAGAGGGCATATAGGAAAACTTATGGGTATGGCCAGGCAGTGAAGGCTTCTTATTGAAGAACATGGATTATCCTAAAGGAGACACAAAGAGAGCTGGGTTTTATTAGCACTGCAACTTGAGCTGATGATTTACTAAGCTTCAGGTTATCAATGATAACAGAGGTATAATACTCATACTTAGGGTAGTTATCATGAACTTTAAATGAAATAATACTGTACTCAGGGCCAGGCACTTGATACTTAAAAAATATTAGGTTCTTAACATATTTTATTTTTTTATTTTTTTATTTTTTTTGGTATCGGGGATTGAACTCAGGTCCTTGCACTTGCAAGGCAGACGGCAGAACCGCTGAACTAAATTCCTGGCCCTCTTAACATATTTTAATAAAAAAACTAACTTCATTTAATTCTTCTAGATATTATTTTTAGGTGTTTCATCATCCTGTATTTCTGGGAAATTACTTAATTCCTTTAAACATTTCCACATCTACCTCATTGGTTGCTATAAAGGAATAAAAATGTAAGCCATGTAAAAAGCTTTCTCTAGTCATTGGCACCTAAGTGTTCAATAAAAATCATGCAGGCCAAACAGTAGGGTGGCAAAGAAAATAGTTCTGAAGTTAAACTTCCCAGGATCAAACATATTCAAACCAAAACTGTGTCCAGGAATTAATTTTCTGTCCTCCATTAATTAGATATTTTGAGTGGGAGAAAAGCCAAGAGTTGACCTAGCCCAGACTTCTCTTGTTCATTAACAGATATTAACTTATTACCTGTTATATGCATATTCTGGGATTCGGAATCAGCTAGAAAAATACACAGGAGGATATGAAAAAACAGGATTTTGGGGAATGATCATTTTTTGCATTGTCAGATCAAAATCTTAGTTTTTTTTCTTGGTCTGTATCAAAACGTAGAATTACTCATGCAAGAGTTAAGATTAAATGCAAAATGATCAGTGCAAAAGATGCTTCAGAAACCAGATCTATAAAGTACCCATGGAAATTTCAAGTTTTTTTGACAGAAAATTTTTTCAGTAAACAATAATTACACAAGAAGCCAGAATGGAAACAGGAGAAAACATGTTGAAGAGCAAATATATTTTCATTACTACTTTTGTCTGCAATAATTTCTTCCCTCTCAGAACTAGGCCAGCATTTATTATAAATAACAAACTCCAAGATGTGAACATCACAGACTATTGGGCAGGTACTTTGTGTTAAATATTTAAGCTTCTCTCAAGGAAAGGCAGTCATGAGGCTTGGGGTATGGAGTGAAAAAGCGGGCAGGGTTTCTACCCATAGTCTACGCACACAGCAGGGCGTCACAAAGGACTTTTTGATTGATTGTGGGCTCCTGATATTTTTTACTTGGAAGTGAGATTTCTGTAAATCAAATTCTGTATCAAGCAAGGTCTCAGAAATTGAAGAATGACTCCAGATAATGTTCTGGGCTTACAATCTGGGCTCAATTCTGAACCTTAAGGAAGAGCTATGAAAATCTTCTTTCCTTTTTTGGTTTTGTTGAAACCCCAGCTACAAGAATCTTTGTACTTGGCCTCTAGCCTCCTAAGTTTGTATTTGCTCCAAACAGTTATTAGAAGACTGTGAGCCAGATAATTCTTGTCAAGGCCAAACTGAGATCTTAAAAATAATGTTTGAAGCTGGGTTTCGAAACCTAAAAAATGATTAGATCTAACTCTTAGCTCAAGAAAACTCAATCAGTATATTTTTTTCTTGGCTTTAATCCTAATAACATTACAATATGCTTGCTTCCAACATTTGAATGTTCTTTTTTGACTTTTCACACAGCAACCAAAAGCAAACCAGATACAAAGTTATTTTTACCTTAGGTTTTTCAGGCCTTAATTCTTATGTGTGCCTATGAAGGCAGGGTTTGGAGAGAGCAAGCTATTTTGATCTTTTATTAAGTTGGTTTTGTGCTCCCTGAATATACAGAAGAAAATTAATTGAAGGCAATTTGGGATTTGTCTTTTAAATATATTAAGCATACTGTATCTTCTTGGTAATACCATTAACTCCTTGAGGAAAGGATCCTGTCTTTTTGAAATTCTAACTCTATCCAGAGAGATGTATATACACATAGGTAGCTAAAGAACTTTTATTTCAGACTCCTGAAATGCCATCAACGATAGGTGTAAGCATCAGTCAAAAATCTTTTTGTCTCTTCTCTCATTTTAAAAAATAAAGTATCTAAAACTGCATTCTGAAGAATATAACCAACACATCTAACCCCATATTATGGACATTAATAATTAAATGATTCTACTGGAAAGACATATAAATTAATTTATCCTTTTTTGGCAACTACTGGGGATTCAATTCAGGATCTCATGCATGCTAGGCAAGTGCTCTAATACTGAGAGACATCTCTAACCTTTTTCATTTTGAGACAGAGTCTTGCTAAAATTGCCCCAATTGCTCTTGAAGTTGTGATCCTCTTCCCTCAGCCTCTGGAGTAGCTGGGATTAAAGGTGAGTGCCATCATGCCTGGTCAGTTTACTCCTTCTCTCTCTTTTTTTTTTGAAGCAGGGTCTTACTTGTAGTTTAGGCTGTCCCTGAACTCACCAGGTAGCCCAGGCTGGCCTTAAACTTGCAGTGATCTCTTGCCTCAGGTTGGCGCCATCATGCCCAGCTGGCTAATTTATTCTTAAGCAAGTTAATTTCATACTTGTTAATTTAAAGAAATATATTTGGTCAATAGTTTTACAAATTGTTCTTTGATATGGCAAGGAAAATATAACTAAAACATAACAAGATTACAAACACGTTTAGAATCACACACAAAAAAGCAATAGTTTTGTTCAAAAGTACAAACTAATTCATTAAAATTAATTATAACTTAGTTGTTAACATTTTGAAGGCAGGGAGTATGATTTTCTGCTTTGTATTCTCTGCAACTCAATACAACATCTTGCATACAAAGAGTTCTTAGTGACTGGGAATTTAGCTCAGTGGTTCTGTCCCCTGCCTTGCAAGCACAAGGACCTGAGTTCGATCCCCAGTAGCAAAAGAAAAGAGTTCTTAGTAAATAGTGAACTTAAGTTAGAATATATTAGGAGAGTGGTATTTCTTATTTTTTTTTTTAAGGACCAAAGTATAATTCAGTGGTTGTGTTTGCCTAGCATGTGCCAAGCCTGGGGCCTCAGGCTTGGGGCGGGGGGAGCAACCATTTCTACATACTCATAAGCCTGATGGCAAGAACTGTCTGATTCATTTTCTTTTCTAGGTCTACTCTAATAGTGCCTGGTATATTATAGGCATTCAATTATTTGTTTACTAAATAAACATATATCAATGCTTTGATTAGGCATTCAGCAATGTTTGGTCTTGAATAACTCTTCAGGCATCAATGTTTCATATAGTGCTAGCCACTTGTATTACCTGTAAATGGCCAATACGAATATAAACTTGTATTATTTGCTATAAATCAATCTGAGAGAACAATGTCTCATGTTACTGTTTTTATAACTTCTATTAAATTATTTCATCATCACAACTCTAGAAAAAAGAAAGGGTAGAGAGGGTCCAAAATTTATAATAGGTGTGAAAAGGGCTATACATTTTAAAATTTATTTTTATTTTGCGGATGAAGAAACAGCTGTGTGAAATAGCTAAGATGACCAATTTATTTGGCTCTCAAACAGCCTTTGGATGTTTTATATATTGATTTATTTATTTAGGGCAGGGTCTTGCTATGTTGCTCAGGCTGGCCTAAAATCCCTGAAGTGTTGCTCCGTAATACCCGGGATTACAGACATCTCCCACGTACCTGGCCTTCAGGGTTTTTTGTTTTCGCTTTTCCGGATACCTTAGGAAACTTTTAGGCCCCAGTCAGGGGGTGAGAAAGTAAGAGAAAGGGCTTGAGACAGTAATAGCAGTGAGCATTTACTGAGTTTATAAATGAACCACAAATTGTATTTTATATGTAATTCTCAAAGCAAATGGAAAGAATGGTATTGTTAAACTGTACACTGGTGGACTGTAAGGCTTTGCAGGAGGTAATTTGTATCTGCCTGAGATCTCACAGTGAGAGACCTCTGAGTCCAGTGGCTGTTTTTTAGGACACCAGGATGAGACCGAATAATAGGCCTTAGCCTTATTTTACCTATAAGATTCTGACATTACAATAGTAACTGATTTGCCCTAGAACTCTAAATGAGTTGCCAGGACAGAACGGACCAAAAAACCAGGATGTCAGAGCTATTTCCAAGGGCCTGAAGAAGGTCTGTCTTTCACTTCAGAGAAATGCCATTGTACGGGCAGAAGAGGACAAAATCCTTGCTGAGCTGTTAACGACACCAGGAAAAGACCGAAGCTTGTGCATGTAAATTTTCTCACTTGCCAGTAACCGGGGGAAAAGTCAAAAGAGCCTCGCAGCTTCAGTCAGTTTGAGAGCCAGGACTACTGGAGAAGCTGCGCACCATCCCGTCGGGTCCCGCCCCCGGGCGCTGCTCGCCGCGCGCCGGGTCTACTAGCCCCGCCCCTACCTGGAAGGGCTCTGGTCCCGCCCCTGGGGGCCACGCGCTAACAGGCAAGTTCTCCTGGCCTTGAGCTATATCCAGCTGTTTTGTCCGAACTTCAAGCTCCTCCTCACGGGCTGCCATCCAGAAAGGCGACTCGTTCTTCACAGATTCCTTAAATGTTTATCCGCCTCTCGCTTCACTTCCTACCCCGACAGTCCGGCGCCTAGCAGAGGATGCTGGGAGTTGTGAGTTCCCATGGCCCCACTGCCTCATGGGAGCTGTAGTGTTTCCTACTCGTCGCCTAGGGCCTGTCAGGGCGTCGTGTCCCTCAGCTTTCCTTCCTTGAATTTTTTTGGTCTGACTATCCCTGTTTCAGCCACATGTGCAGCCGATAATTTCAAAACAATGTAAGGTACGGACACAATTGTTGGAACACAAATGAAATGCTTTACTTTTCCCTAGGAGCGTTAGGGAGGGTACTTCAGAGGGGAGGCATCTGTGAAGGTTTTTGTGGTCTTAATAGACACTTGCTAGACTCAGCGGATGGGAAGTCTAAACGGTGGAGAAAAATACACACTAGGGTTACTAAAGAGCTGGAGCTTGCGGGCAGTTGGATGACACGGGGTAGTGTTTGTTCCGGGTGGGAGAATAGACTTTGGGGAAGCCATAGGCATTTGTGTTGGGTATGGCCCTCTCCGTGATAAAGTCAGGTTATCCTTTCTGTTCACCACCCACAGTGTGGGAGAGAGAAGAGAAAAAAAAAGTAAAACAAACAGAATGCTAATAAAAATGCTAATGGTAAAAAAATGAAAAGTGAAAACTGGCCCTTGTTCTTGGGCAAACACTGTACCACAGAACTATTGCTCTTCTCTCTGATTGTCTTGCTTTTCTTCTTGAAATTTCCTTTCCTTGCAGCTTTTGTGGTGCCCCTGTCCTAAATGTGATTCCGCAGTACTTTTTCCTCTTAATATTGTCCTAAGATAAAATTACAACAGTTTAGAGCCAGGCACATGCCTCTAATTCTAATACTGGGGAGGGTGAGGCAGGAGGATAATTGCAAGTTCAAGGTCACTCTGGGCAACATATGAGTTCAAGCCCAGCCTGAAGTACATAGCAAGATCCTGTCTCAAATAACAAGCAAACAAAGAAAAAACCCTACAACAGTTTAAAGATTTTAATTGACTATATTTTCAATTTCACAATTGAGCAATACTTCATTCCATAAAATAGAGTAAGCATTTTAATGGGCTGAACAGAAGAGATTGGTGTAACAGACAGAAAAGGTCTGGGGAAAGAGAAACTAACGGGTCCATTTAAAATTTAAAATTCTGTAGGTAGGTACAGGAAGACAGAACAAGAGGAAAATGACTGGTTAACATTAGGTTACTTTTTTGCATGTGGAAGGATTAAGGCAGGGGAAATTTATTATGATCATGTCAATTGAAACTGGCCTGTTTGGTAAATTTGGTTATTATCTAATCCCTGATTTCTCCAGAAGATCAGATAAACAGCTTTTGTTTCACTTTGGTGATTTGAAACCTTAGTGTGATTCTGTTTTGATTCTTAGTCTGGTCTGTGCAAAAGCTTAATCCAAAATAATGGCCTCCTACAATTTATGTTTAACAGCACCTTTTTGTCATTCTTAGGCCTGTAGCTGTCACTCAAGAGTTCCATTCTTGGTCCTTTTCACACTATTCTGAGCATACCCCATAATAGCATCCGCTCATGGTTTCATAAATAAAGGTTTGAGATCAGAGGTTAGGGTGTGGCAAAGGCTGGCTGGGGACAAAGGCTGACATTTTAATTAGAAGATCCCAGACACATGTGTAAAACAGTTCCCAAAGCCCTGTGGGAGGACTTTTCTGAGAACTCTAGCAGGTTTTCAACTGGATGGCCTAGACCTAATGTCACCCTGAAGCATGGGATTTCAGTACTGCCTCTCAGGACTGGTATGTAGAAATTCTTGCAGGTTTCCTCCTTATGTACACAAAATAAAAGGACACATGGACGCCATGAAGGCTTTCCATAATAGCCCATGCTATGTTTCCCAGATGCAGTGTATAGTACTATTATCTTTGGTCTTAACCCATCTTTCAATTTACTTGGCTCAGGCTTGCTCTGTAGAGCCAGTTTCTCTCCCACTCTTCAATTTTGCTTTCTTGAGTAAACTTTGCAACTGCTTTTTGCCTGTTTCATTCAGTTGTTTGTTTGAGGCAAGAACCTGGAATCCAACTCTAGGTGAGCAACCCCAAACACCATGGTGTTTAGTTGGTGAGCCGCTTTTTAGATACAAGCTTCCCCAAAACAGGATTAGGACTCAGCATTTCTCCTTCACTCTGGTTATCTACATCCTACTAATTATCGGGCAGTTTTACTTTCTGTATTATAAGCTTTTTAAAGCTCAAAACAACCTGAGTTGACTTGTTCTACTGCAAGTCTTTCTTTTCCTTCATTAAAATAAACTGGGAGAATAATTTATTGATTATCTAACAGAACTATCAAACAAACCAAAGATTTCCTTATATTTCTTCCATGCCTCAGACCCTCCATAACTAAGAATTTAGTTGTCAAGTCTTGTTGATTCTGCCTTTTAACATTTTTCATTTAAATTCCATTTACTTAGTCCTAGGCTCTCATTTCTTGCTTGACCTATCAAAATCACTTTTTAAAAGTCTGTCATTTGCTATGCCCTCAAATATCGGTTACTGCCATTGCTATACTTATTTTTTAATATGCACATACAAGTATTATATTCTACTGCTTAAAACTGTTTCTCTATATTTTCTCTCAAAGTCTAACCTTTATATTCTGCCTTTTAAGGCTCATAAAATCTAGATTGTGGGCTGGGGATTTAGCATGGTGGTTCTGCTGCCTGCTTTGAAAGTGAAAGGTCCTGAGTTCAATTCCTGGCACCAAAAAAAAAAGAAAAAAAAAACTAGATTGTACCTATTTCTTAGGTCTCTGTTGCTGTTAATTGTTTTGAACCTTTCTATCTACCGACATTTTTGCAGGAAGTTATGTTACTTAGACCTCTGTTCCTTTATTCGCATTATTTTCTTGTCTTATTCCTTTACTGCATATTTTATACCTACTCAATTCAAGTGTCCCAATACTTGTATCTTTCCTGAGTGTTATTGATAGCATTGGTTATTCTCTTTACATTGATTCTTCCTCTTTATAAACCTTTGCTTCTTGTCTCTACAACTCTTTTAGTACACTCCTAGGTAAAACCCTCTTACTGAAAGGACACACATACTCAATACATGTACATGTATATAGGGAAGGGAGAAAGGGAAGCATTTTAATTTAAAATGATTTTGGTACATATATTTGCTAGTCTTTGTATATCTGAGCAAGAGTTTGTATGTGTGTATATGTAGTCTATTGACTAGAGTTTCATGTTATATTTACTCAGTGATGCAGTTTAGATATCTTTAAAGCAGTGCTGGGACTGGGGGTTTAGCTCAGTGGCAGAGCATTTTCCTAACATCTTGTTCATTGCCCTAGGTTCAATCTCCAGCACTGCAAGGAAAAAGAAGTTCAAAGTAACGCAAGAATTATAAGGTATGGAAGCAATCTGAGACTATCTGACCACATACCTCCTGTGCTTTATGTTATGCTTGCACCGTCTCCAATGGCATAATTTTTTTGTGTGGCTTGCTTTTTTCTTTTGAAGTCTTTACAGAGTTCCAGTTAGACATCATAGAGGAGAGAAACTCTTTGCACTCATAGTTCATCATCATTTTCATAGCTAATTATACTAACAGTTATACCAAGTGTTAATAGTTTTGGGAACATACAAAAAATAATGTTTACAAATGTCAGTATTTATGAGCAGGTAATAAAGTCACTGAATTTTGTACTGAAGTACACATCTGGCAGAAAAGTCTTTTGAGAGCAGGTGTACAGAGGGAAAGGGAATGACTGTTCTATATGGGAAAGACCAAAATGTAATGTTTAGGGTCACAGGATATGAGCTCAGACATGCTTTCATAGTTTCTTTGTCCCTGAGACATAGTACCTGACACAACTTAAGGGAAGAGAGATTTATCCTGGCTCATGGTTATGGTCTATTGTTGTGTGTCTCCTTGGCAGGATGGCATGGCAGAGGAAGAGCTGCTTGTGTCAGTTGAGTCCAGGAGAGAGTTAAGGGAGGACCTGCTAAAGGAGATAACACTTTTTCAGGTCACACCCACAATGACCTGCCTTTCCTGCCAAAACTCACCTTCTAATAGCAGTCAGCTATACTGTGCTGCCCCACATTTGAGTGCATGAGACTTTGGGGGGACATCTAGGTATAAACTAACATGTGCCTCATGTTCAAACTTGGTCACTTTCTGACCAAGGACAAGAATACCTAGCATTTATTGGGCTGTTATTATATGCTAGACCTTGTCTAAAGAGTTTTATATGTACCAGTCCATGTATTCATCATAATAAGATCCTTGAAACCTCCACCATGAGGTCTTTTAAGATTCAACTAATGTTCAAATTCACAGGACTATCACTCGCAACACTGGGCATTAAGTTCACTCAGGCTAGAGCTACAACCAACCAGCAGAGAGGCCTCAGATGTCTCCATGTGAATAGTGCTGGCATCTGTCCATATAGTAGGTCATAGAACTGCCTGCGAGCTTTATTCTTTTTCTTTTTAGGTGGTTCAAATGGAAGGCGAAATCCTCCTTAATGGGATCTGAAGGGAGCATCCTGAATTAGAAGCCTTGCGCATTGGGAGCCATAGACTTCAAGGTAGTCACCTACTAATTGCTTAATCTGGTATAGTTGTGTACTTTTTTGTTCCCTTGAAAAGGAAGATGGTCAATTACATAATATAATTTTCTGCTTATAATTAAAAGACATATAAGTTTTAGTGAATTGCTGTGGAACTTTAGAAGTAGGAAAAGTTACTTCTAGCTGAGATCAGGGAAAGCTTCATGGAGAAAAGACAATTTGCCATAGGCCTTGAAAATAGATAGGATTTGGGACAATTAGAAAAGGGTGTTTCAGGCAGAAGGAAACTTAGTTGCAAATGAATAAATAATGTGTATAGGAAAGAGAAATTTCTGATTGGCCAAAGATAAAGTTCATTTCATTTTTCAGGAATTATAAATGATAAGAAAATTTGGGATTATTCAAAGAACATCCTGCCTTTTTTCATCTCTTCCTCCCATCTTTTTTCTTTCTTGATATTTTGAGACAGGGCATCACTGTGCAGTTCAGACTAGCCTTGAACTCCCTATTGTAGGTGAGGGTGGCCTCATGCTTCAGTCTGCCAGATGTGTGTGCTGCCATGATGGGCTTCTGATCTTTCATTTTAAGAAACATTCTTGAATATTGATGATGTACACAGTGCTGTGTTTACCAATTTGGAGAATATACACATGAAGAAGACGTGATGCCTTAGGGAGGCTTGCAATCTTACAAATAAGTACGTGCATACAGAAAATAAATAGAACTATAAGAATATTATAAAGAAAGGATCATAAGAGCTGTGAGCAGAACCACTTCTTTCTGTTTGTATCTTGCTTTGCCATTTTGATTTTGCCTTCTTGGTAGTACTGTCTGCCTTTTGTACAAATGTTTTGAAGGGTCCATTTTATTTTATAAAGCTGTCAATAGTGTTTGAAGAGTAAGATATTCAGTTCATGTTGGGCCTTCAGTCTAATTTGCTGTTAAAGGATCCAAAAGTATTTTATAGAGTGTGAGATTAAAATAATGAAAGAATATTTGTAGGGTGATATAAGCAATCTTCAGAATGACAAGTAGCTTAACATCTTTTTCAGGTCTAAAAACCTATCTTATTTTCTCCAGACATTTGCTCTTCACTGACCAGGAGCCTTGATCTTTAGAATTTGTTCTGAAAGCTATTATAGCTAGCTGGTGAAAAACGTATCTTGATACATAATGAGGTGTCCAAATTGACTGCTATAAATAGGCTCTGGACTAGAATATTACATTAGTTATTTAAATTTATTTTGGCTTTTCACTGGCAGAAGAGAAATTAATCTGGTCAGTAATAAATTGAATAAAAGGAAAACAATGAAGTATAATACAACTAGCATTCTATACATTGAATTATATTTGGATAAATTTTGGGAGATAACTATATGATATTTCTGTTTTTATGATTTAAAAAAATTTGACAACATGGTCTTTAATTGGTATGTTTTAATCATGCTCTTTTTTTTCATGGCCAGGCTTTTAATATTCTGTGTGGCTTTTCAGAAGCCATTGTTTCATCGACATCTCATAGCTTTATCTGAGCTTCATTTTCTGGGATGTACTTTACAGTTAATGATGAAAGGACTAAAGGCAGCAGAAATTATATATTTGCTAGTGTCACTGACAGCATGAATAGTATAGTTTGAAATATCTTTGCTTTCCAATGGGAAACACCACTGCTACACATTAAGTAGGTATAATGTAGGTATTGGAGTTTCTTATCAAATGAGATTGTGTAAATGAAATCAATTTGAATAGAACAAAGCATAATAGTTGATATCTTTGGGAATTTTTGTCCAGCTTGGTGACATTTCTCTGTAGGAATATGCCAGCCTCTACCCAACCCATTTCAGGAGTGGGTTTCTTGGCGGTCATGTTTATGTGACATGGTTAGACTCATGCATTTGACTTTTAGGTGCACACTTGATTCAAGCTAGGATTCAAGTGGATTCTCATAAGAAGGAGCTGGGGCTGAATAACTGCTGAAACAGTATCATTTGAGACTCTGAGGTAGCTTTATATGGAGAAGCAGAGAAAAAAAATCCTTCCAAGAGAAAAACAAAGCAGATGAGTAAAAAGGAGAATTAGTTTTTGATAGCTGTTTCTGGTTTCAGTCACTTTTTGATTCAGATGACATACTTGTGTTCTTATAACAAACTCTTTCTTTGGATTTAGGTTAAATCAAGAAATTTCTGTTACTTTGGTCAAGTATTTTGACTAGTAAAAAGGTACTGTGTACACTTACGATGACATTTTTACCATTACTATTATTATTTTGGTATCAAGAATCGAACTTGGGACCTTGTGCTTGCAAGGCAGGCAGCGGCACCACAGAGCTAAATCCTGGCTCTATTATTATTATTATTATTAATTATTATTACTAATCAATTGAGAAAAGGTTGTGCTATGTGATTTAGGCTGGCTTTGAATTCACTATGTAGCCCAGGCTGGACTCAAACTTGTGACAGTCCTCCTGCCTTAGCCTCCTGAGTGTTGGGATTACAGGTGTGTGCCACCATGCCCTGACTTACTATTGTTATTAGAAGGTGTGGGCTGGATAATTAGCTTTTATGCTCTGTATGGAAGTTAGTTGATGTCTATGAGTTTTTGTTCATTGAAATAATGAATGGGTAAGTTATTTTTTTTAACCATTTTGTCTATCTGATGTGGTTTTATTAAAGAATACCGCTTCCAAATAATATGGAAAAAAAATTAGACTATCAGAAAGAAGTAAGAGGTATGAAATTTCCTAGTGAAATATATACTAATATAGTAATAAAAGTTAATACTTATATTATAGATAATTTGGGGCCAGTATTGTTAAAAATACTAAAATTTAAAGTAAATTGGACAGAAAAGAATGTCTTTTTAGCAGCTGAAATTTTATGGCAAAGTAGATCATTTTACCATAAGAAAAAATATGGCAAGCGATTAAAATAACTTCAGTTGTATCTTACAAAATTGTGATCCTGTATTATTTATGCTTCTCAAATGATTTTTGTATTTGAACTGCTAGTAAATATGTTTTTTTATTGAATTTATTGGTACATTCTAGGTAGACAGTACAGTTACATTCATTACTGGGATCTTGTACCTTTACATGCCAGATCTTGGTTCTCATTTTTTTTCCTTTTCCCCT